GGGGTCTTACGGGTTCTCAAACTCGAGAAGAAGTGGATTATAACACAGCCAAGCAAGTACTAGGAGGTCCTCCTCAGAGGTCAGTTAGAAGTCCCTCCTGCGGCTGGACTCAGACACCGTCTCCTTAACTGTATTCATCTCTGGGATTCTTCTAACTTAGAGTAGGCGGGCCAGTCACGAGCCTCAATACTGAATCCTAGGAATCCCTATTGCAAACCAGTAACCTACAGCACTTAGCATTAAAAATACTGCACCTACCCTTTCTCAAGACCGTCGTCCTTGGAAGAGACTGGATGCGGGAACTCGCTCCTCCCCAGCTTCTGAGTCCCTGTGCTTACTCTTGACAATTTCTTAGGAGATTTGGGCTGTGGTAATAAACTGATTTCATCTCCCTAAAAAGTGAGAACAATAATGAAATGGAAAAATGGGCAAAAAAAAAATGAAACAGAGAATTAAGTTCCTCACTCTACTGCCTACCAAATAGCCCACTGAGATAGGACTGCTTCTGTCACACACGGGCGAGTTTTACGGGGACAGGCAGAGTGAAACATGACAGGGACAGAGACTGGCTAGGTCCTTACTTCCAGGACCGTGGAGGCAGACTCCCTCCTGGGAAGGGAACTGGGCAGCCGTCCCCTCTCCTGGTTTAAAACTGTGTGGGAGAGCACCAGGAAGAGGTGGAGCTGGGAAAACAAAAACAACTGTCCCTTGCTTAGCTGGGACAAGGCATCTGTAACTCAACAGTACTGTGTCTTTCCTTTTAGGGACATTTTATGGTCATGGTTGTTTTTCCTCTTCTTAGAGGTTTCCAATGGTAGGAGCCGGAGAGTTGATGGCTCAATAGTTATGAGCTGATCTTAACTGGGCGCTCTTCCAGAGGGCCCAGGTTCAATCCCCAGCACCCACGGTGGTGGCTCCCAGCTGTCTGTAATTCTAGTCCCAAGGGATTTGAATCTCTCTTCTGGCATCTGTGGGCACAGGGTGTGCTCATAGTACACAGGCATGCATGCAAACAAAATACCACACATACAAAATCAATAATATATTAACAGCAGCATAAGGCAGACTGTGCTAAGGGCAGTTGGGGCCACTAGCAAAAGGGAAGGTGAGTCGGCCATGGGAAAGAGACCGGGACTTGGGCAATGGTCAAAGCTGCTCTTCGCTGGTGGAGCTTCAGGTTAAGGCTGGGCGTGTGGTACCTGTCTGTAGTCCCAGCACTCGGGAGGCTGAGGCACGAGGGTCACAAGTTCAAGGCCAGCCTGGGCTACGCAGCAAGTCCCCGTCTCAAACGAAGCATTGCAGTCGTAGGTATTAAGTAGGGGCCCAGGCACTGGTATGCTTTAAAAGTTCTTGGGGGCGGGGGATTTCTAAGGTGTGCCTGGAGTTCTGGAACCACAGAGGAAGAAACGCCGAGACCCTGCTGACGGCGCTGAACGCTGTGCGTGAAAGAGGAACATTCAGGATGTGTTATGTAACTTGCTGAGTTTTGAAACGAGACACAGTCGGGCTCTAAAACAGTCCCTGGGGCAGTTTTGTCTGACCGTGTCCAATAACAGAATATTCTGTGACGCCCTTACGTGGCGAAGGCGAGCGAGGGCCCTTATCGCCACTGAGGCCGATAGTTCCTTCAATTACCTCCTTATTTCAGACTTTCCCCTTATCGCCTGTCTCTCTCTCTTTTTTTTTTGTTTTTATGAGACAGGATTTCTCTGTATTGTTTTGGAGGCTGTTGGTCCAGCCCGGCCTCAAACTCACAGAGATCCTCCTGCCTCTGCCTCCCGAGTGCTGGGATTAAAGGCGAGCGCCACCAACGCCCAGCCATCGTCTGTCTCTTTATTCTTCTCCATGTGTGTGCCCAGCTCCCTTCCTTTGGTTCCGGGTCAATTCCTACTGTGTTTGTGCTAGGGATGCGGACAGGGAATTCCCTTCTGTTCTAGAAGGTGGTGAAAGGCAGCCGACAGGTGTTGAGTCATGTGACCGACCGCAAAGGCAATAAAGCAAGGCAGGGCAGAGGGCACCGATAGGGATGGGAGGCGGTGGAACCAGCCCAGGACGGAACCACGCCCTCTGAACTCGGGTGCCAGTGAGGAGGCCTGGGCGAGCTGTGTGGCCTCTGACAGTGGAGTCAGTGTTTATCCCTAGTGCACAAATGGACTGTGGGAGCCCATTCCCCATGGAGGGATGCTCTCTCAGGCTAGACAAATGATGCCTCCTCACCCTCCCTGGGGAGTGGGTGGGGAGGGGTGGGATGGGGGTCAGTGGGGGACATGGGAGGGGCGTGGCTGTGGGGGAAGGGGGCGCACCAAACGCAGGGGGCAGAAAGTGCCCTGCGGTCCCACTGGATGTTCAGGGGCAAGCAAAGGAGCCGGTGCGGCTGGTTTGGAGGAAATTAGAGGGGAGTGTGGGGAGACGGGGTGGCGAGGTTGGCAGTTTTCTGATTGTGTTCTAGGGGGAGATAGAGAGGCCGCTGGAGAACTTCCAGCTGACCAGTGAGTGTCACGGTTTGTATGTGTAGAGGGACCTCTCTTCCCTTCCTTCCTTCCTGCCGGTGGTGGTCGCTTTGCATTGCTCTGATGAATTAAGCTAATAATGGCAACTCAAAGAAGGGAAGGTTACATTGATCTCGAGGCTCCAGAGCGATTCGCTCCATCGTGGCGGGGAAGGCATAGCAGCAGGCGGGGAAGGCATGGCTGTGGGCATCTGGCTTGGTCACACCGCATCCACCTTCGGGAAGCAGAGTGTGAACCCAAAGCCGTAAGGGTCCCAGTGACCCACTTCCTCCGACTCGGCCACGCCCTCTAAAAGGTTCCACGACCTTCCCAACCAGTGCCAAGTGGGGACAGGGTGCCCAAACGTGTAAACCTGTAGGGTACAGGTCGCATTCGAACCGCAGTGTTTGACAAACACCCAAGGACAGATGTCAACCGTGCAGTTAGTAAAGACCGGTTTGTGCACTGGACACCCTACCTGGACCTCAGGGACCTGTGGGATGCAAGACTTTGGCCTTAAAGGCAGGAGGGTTGCCATCTGTGGGAAAGGGTCGATATCCTTCCTTGGTTTCTGTTGCCGGAGGCGCCAGAATTTCAGTTCAGCACTCGCATTTTTTGTTGTGGATGAATGCGTCACACAAAATCTTGGTGCCCTGTTAGTTGGGGGAAAACAAAACAAAACAGACAAACTGAAGATTCAATATGTTAAGAAGGAACTATAACAAATCTCAAAATCAAAAACCTACAAGTCACATAATTTATCACGATTATCCATCCTTGCTGTCTATTTCTTTTCCTGCTGGCTTGTCTTAAAAATATTTTTCTATATGTTACTTCACTATACTTAATTCACTAATAGAAAAAGGTAATACATATTAGAAAGCTCATTAAAATTATTATCTGCTTGATAAGAAACAGAAATACATAAAAACTATTAAGGAATTTAAAAATAACATAAAATGTGCTGTGGTAGTTTGGTATTTATCTATAATATCAAACTAAAAATTAATTTCATGCTTAAAAACATATAAACATCTCATTTTATTTTTTTAGTTTTGATTTTTGTTTTTTTTTTTTAAGACAAGGTACAAGGTATCTTTTTATATTCCTGGCTGGCCTGTAACTCAAAAGACTCACCTGCTTCTGGCCCCCCAGTGCCAGGATTAAAGGCACATACCACCATGTCTGGCTAAAAATGCAAACATTTTAGAGTATTCAAGTATGCTACTAAAGTGGGTTACATTGAACATTTATGTATTTTTTCAAGTCTTACACTTTGAAGGTAGGAATTAATTCGACAACAGTTTATACAAAGGAAAGATGGACTCTGCATCAGAAACTCAAGGGAAAGATTTTGGCACAGGGCCGAGTTCGCACTCAGTTGGGGTGGGGGGGATGTCCTAGTGGCCAGTCAGTGGGAGAACGCTTTGGGGTTACCACAGCTAACTGCAGCTGTCGGGCCGATGGCTAAATTGTTCTTTAGACTGGGTTTCACCTGGTGCCAAGCCTGAGGACTAATTCCTACCCCACATTCTGGAGACTAGCTTCACTTTAACGTGGGAGGAGAGAAGGCATTCCCGGAGCCAGCCTGTTAGGGAGTGAGGAGAACCCAAAGGCTGCATTTAAGAGCGGAAACCCCTGCAGTCCATGTGGTCACTCCCGCTCCAGTGTGCTTCTGGGCTTCCCTCTTTGGAACCGGAAGCACCTCACCTAAGAATCCCAGGAAATGGGTCCGCAAAACCCTTCCCGACTCCTCCATGTGGCAGCCAGGGAATCTAGACACTCTTGATTCACGTTAAAGTCTACTCATATGGGTCCAGTTCTATGCCGCCCTCACCATTTAACTGGCTCTTATTCCACTCCAGCATTAATCTTTGATGAGCCAGCCACTCTGTGAACTTCCAGTACAGTAGGACCCTCCACGGTGAGTTCTGAACCAGTACTGCGTTATTTCCGACACCATCATCATCATACAGGCTCTCGTGCTCACTGGTTTTACATGTCTTTATTCTCAAGACCTTGCAATCAGAAAATACTTACAAAAAAACCACTAAGGAAGAATTGTATGTGTGTGCGTGTGCGAGTGCACACGGGTGTGTGTGTGTGTGTGTGTGTGTGTAACCATAAACAGCTCTCTGATGTTTTTCAGTGAGTGACTGGACAGACAGACAATGGGTAAACCCCTCAGGAACAAAGCAGAGCATGTTGTCGATACACTTGGCTACACCTCGATAGAGTTATGCTGAGCTTGAAAAGCTTGTGCCCAAAGGTTACATATTAGACAGTTTGTACCGACGGCTCCTTGGGGGTTGGGGAGGGAAGAGAGGGGGAGGCAGGCGTGGTGCTGAGATAGCATTACAAGGCGGGCTTGTGGCAGGTCCCATGTCTTGACCCTGGCAGAACACACATAACTATGAACAATCACATTACATCAAGCTACACACACACAGAGAAATGAGAGCACGTATCGCTTCTCGGCTTTTTGGCTAAAATCAGGTGTAGAAATGAGAGCATGTAAAATTCATGGAATGTGGAAAAGATAGGCACATCAATGTTGGTCTTACTCATTTCGATACTGTACTACCATGATGGCTACTTTTGGCTGCCGACCTGGCTACATCTGGCATGAACTAATGTACAGGTGCACCCGTGAGGGATTTTTTTTTCTCTTTTTCACTTCAGCAGTCTTTAATAAAAGCTGTGCATGAGACACCATCCACTCCTGCATCTTCTCAACCGTTTCTGCCTTTTATTTCTCCTTCCCTGCTGTTGAGTCCCGGCTTCCCTTCCCAGTGTCTTTTTTGTTTTTTTTTTTCTGTCTTTGTCCAGCCGGATGCCCACACGGACAGTTGTGTCGTTAGTCTTTTCTCCCTGCGCTCGTTCAGTGTGGATTACATATTCCCTCCTGTACCCTTGGACCACGTGGCCGATCTGTCGGCCTTTGTGGTGTCCTTGGACAACCTGAGCCTCACCACCCTTTCGAATGGGCACAGGTCTAATGCAGCACTTCCGTCTCAGCTCCGTGGAAAGCAAGGAAGACACAAGCTTCCACCGAAGGTGAGAGGTGCCTCGAAACACTGTTTGCCATTCTGTATCTGGTTAGAGGTTACAAAGGGATTGAACCTTATTTTGGCAGCTGCGATCCAGTGATGGCCACAAAAGGAAAGTGGGATTTTTTTCCCTAATTAAGTCACACCTTCTGCTGGCAGCACCGCCGAACCTTACCACGCGTTTAGAGACACCCAAGCACACCAATGATCTTCGTCAGTGTTCTATTGCACGGCAACTCCTATAAAGGAAGGCTTACAGTGCCGGAGACTTAGTCCACTGTCGTCATGGCAGCAGGCAGACCAGCTGTTGAAGAAGTAGCTGAGAGCTGCATCCTAATCAGTGCAGGTAGATGCCTGGACCTAGCATGGGATTTTGAAACCTCAAAGTGTACACCCCCAGTGGCACACTTCCCCCAGCAAGGTCACATCTCCAAACCCTAATCTTTTCAACTGCTAACCAAGCATTCAAATATAAGAGCCCACGGGGGCCGTCCTTATTCAAGCTACCACGTTCCACTCCCTGGCCCCCATAGGCTTGTAGCCAGATCGTAATGCAAAACCCCATTCAGCCCAATTCAAAAGTCCCCATAGTCTCAACACAGTTTTAAAGTTCACAGTCTCTTCTGGAATTCATGCAATCTCTTAGCTGTAATCCCCTGTAAAATCGAAATAAAAAAAAGCTGATTGCATACTTGCAACATATAATGCCACTTTAAAAGGGAGGGAGGGGAGCACAGGGAGGAAATACTGGATCAAGGCAAGACTGAAAACCAGAAGGGCAAATTCCACACTCTGCATCTCCATGTCTTGTGCCAAAAGGCTCCTCAGATCTCCAACGCTTCCCAGCTTTGTCGACTGCAGCCTATTTCTCTCTCTTGTGCTAGTTCTACGCTCGGTCTGAAACTGTCCTCAGCAGGTGTTCCAGGACTCTGGTGTCTATAACATCTCGGGGTCTCCAACACAATCCAGGATTCACCTTTGCAGCTTCACGCAATGGCCTCTCTAGTCCTCCATGCAGGGACACCCCTGCCACACACCTGGCCTCAGTGGTTTTGCTTAGCTGCAGAGGTAAATCCCACGACCCTTTTTCTTGTGTCCTTAACTCTAAACCCAGAGCCATGTGGTCAAAGCTGCCAAGTTCTGCTGCTTGCTGGGACTGGGGCGTGGCCCTCCTTGTTGAACCACATCTTCCTTAGCTTTCTGTTGCGGACGGTTTCCATTCATTGCTCACATTGGTCTTTAATTCCTCTTCACAAGTCGGAAGCTTAGGGGGTGGTGTCTTGCCCTGAAGTCACCACTCCCTCTATTCCATTTAGCATCAGGCTTTTCTTTAAACTTTTTTATCTCATTGAACATGGGCTTAGTCCCATTATACTTTCTGGTTCCCATTTTTCTCCTCAAACTGTATGTTTTGTATTTCTCTTTCAGCTTGCTCCTTTTCATTATAGATCTGCCTACAAGTGATGGCTAACAATCACGTGACACAGTCAATAGTAGGCTGTCTGGAAACCTACTCTACCAAAACGCTTCAGTTCGACCTCAGGCAGGTTTTGGGGACAAGGGCAAAAAGCAGCCACATCCTTTGCCAAAATATCACAAGAACGGTCTCTAGACTACTTACTGACATTCTTCCCCTCTGAACCCTCTTGGGCAGCCCCACACTCCTACTAGTGGGGCCCCTTAAGCCCTGCTTAAAGCATTCAGCTTCCTTCCTAACCCAAAGTCCCAAGGTCCACATCCCACTAACAAGCAGCAAGAGCAGGTCTGTCACAGAAATCCCCCACTCCTGGTACCAGTGTCTGCGTTGGTTACTGCACCATTGCTGTGAAGAGCCACCATGACCATAGCAACTTTTGCAAAAGATGGCATTGAACCGGGGGTTTGCTTACAGTGTCAGAGGTTAGTCTATTTCCATCGTGGGGGGTGGGAGCCTGGTGGCAAGCACGGTGCTGGAGGAGTAGCTGAGAGACACATCCCGATCCACAGACTGAGGGAAAGGGAGCAACCGACCCTGGCTTCCGCCAACAAGGCCACACCTCCTAATCCTTATAATCTTTTTGAACAGCTTCGCCCCTGGTGACCCAGCATATTAAATATATGAGCCTATAAGGGGCCGTTCTCATTTCCACCAGCACACTAAGCGTCTGAAAGGTAAACGCTTTTCAAAGAGAGGCAAAGGCGCGCTGGTCACTCTCGGTTTCCATAGTTATGTAACCACAACACACACAAAAGAAGTATTATTTATAACTAGCCTAAGGAGAGTCAACGGAAATGACTTTAACCCATGTCATCTTCCTTACCAATACAGAAGCAAGGGTTTCAGCACCTCAATCTGAATGTTTTTCAAGTGTTCCTCTGTCCACCGGGATCCTTGAAGCAGCTTAAACTTCGACAGGACTTCTGTGGAAAGGTAGCGCTCCCCACTGCTCAGAAGGTAGCATTTTTTCATTTTCTCAAGATGTCTTAGAGAAAGCACAGGTATGGACTTGTCAATACAATGTTCAATCTCCCGCAAGTCAGCACTCTGGACAAGCGACAAATACCTCATACCAACAGCCAGTAGAGTGCTAAAGGGTTTGTAGACATGGATTATTTCCCAGGGTGCTTGCTATTCCTCAAAAGGCTGGACAGCCTTGTAGGGCTGTGCACACCAAATCTCTAAAATTTGTAACTTTGTTACATATATATATGTATATATACATACATACTATATATCAGCACATGTGGGTACGTGAGGACTAGAGATAAGTCACCCTGGGACTGGACAGCCCCAAGGGAATGTCAGAAATCCTTCTACAGGAGACACCGTGGGGCCAGAGCCATGAAGACATGAGGGAGACATTAGAGAGTAGCTAAGCTGTCATGCTGCTGGCTTCGAATATAGAGGAAGGGACCATAAACCAAGGAGCACAGGCCGTCTCCTCCATAAACTGGAAAATGCAAAGAAAAAGATTCCCTCTAGAACTGCTGCTTCGAGTCACTGAATGTGGGCAGTTCATTATGGAGACAACGGAAGTCCATGGTATTGGCCCTGAAAAATCCCAAGGTTTCTTGCATATGACTCTCCTGATAAGTCTTACAAAATATGGCTCAAGTCAGCTTGACTTGGTGAGTCCTGTTCAAAGCATAAACTCTGTGACCTAAATACTATTCTAACAACTATAATAACCCAGTCCCTAGTCCATCTCCACCAAGCCCTTAAGACTGAATGCAGTCTAAGGCGCTTCAGGGTAGGTCAGGAGCAACAGACATACAGACTTCCGTAAAGCGGTGTCCTGTAGGGATGAACGCTCACAGTAGCCCGAAGTGTATGGAGCCAGCCGAATGCAGAGCTGAGCCCCATCAGACTTTCAGAAGAGTCAGACAGACAGACAGACAGACAGACAGACACGTGGCATCTGACCTAAGTCAGGCTGCTGGGACAAGAGACCCACACACTGGCATTCATAGCGGGTCTGCTCTGAGTTTGGTCATACCACTGATAAAGTATTTGTTGTATAAAATTTTATAAAATTATGACACTATAAAAAGTAGAACAATTTTAGAGCATGTCTGGAAATTATAGGAAGAAACAAACTATTCCCAAATAACTATTATTGCTATCCTATTTATTTATTTCACTTCTCTTATGTGTCTTGAGTGTTTGGCCTGCAAGTATGTGTGTGCCACACGTGTGTCTGGTGCCCACATTGTTCAGAAGAGGGCAACAGATCCCCTGGAGCTGGAGCTGGAGCTGTGGATGGCTGTGAGCCACCACGTGGGTGCTGGGAACTGAACCTGGGTCCTTTGCAAGATCAGCAAGTGCTCTTTACCACCGGGGGCCACCTCCCCAGCCCTGGAATCTTCAAGCTACGAAATCAGAAAACTTGTGATATCAAAAGTTTATTATCGCAGCCGGGTGGTGGTGGTGCATGCCTTTAATCCCAGCACTCGGGAGGCAGAGGCAGGCGGATCTCTGTGAGTTCGAGGCTGGGCTGGACCGACAGCCTCTAAAACAATACAGAGAAACCCTGTCTCGTAAAACCAAAAAAAAAAAAAAAAAGTTTATTATCGCAAGTAGCATTGGTTTTTATCCCATCAAATACATAAACTACAACTTTAATATTTAGTATTTGTGCCTGAATGGCTCAATTTTTTAAGACTACTGAAAAAATAAACAGGGAAATACCTGTGATGTCTTCCACGGTCCTTAAGAACTTTTAACCTCTCGATGTCCATCCATAGCCACCAGTATCTTTCTCCTAATGTTCCCTTTAGAAACTTCTTAAACCTTTCAAATTCTCTTCTGTTGCCAATGTCGTAGGTTCTGTGAGGAATACACCAGTCGGCCCTGCTCTCTGGTCCGAGGCTTTCGCTCTTTGAACTTAGACTCACGTTTTCCAGTTTCTCCTGTGAGACTTCCTTTACCGTTTCTATCTGGGGCGAACTTACCATCTTCTTGCTAGGCGCCGGCTCCAAGTTGTCGAATACCACCTGGGTTACGTTGTAGAAGTTGATGTAGCTGGAAGTGTTGCTGAAGGCGTAGCCGGTGATGTGCTCCAAGGCTTCTCTCAAGATGAAGATTATGTAGGAGTTGAGAAACTCGTCCACCGTGGAAAAGTGCAGCGTCAAGCTATTGTCCTGAGGTTCCTTCCTCTCTAGGTATATTCTCAGAAGCGCTTGGGATGGAGTGTCTTTCACGGAGATGGACCCTTCTTCTTCCTCTTCTTCCACTTCTGGGACCATTTTATCAGTTTTAGACGGGCTCTTTATTGTCCTGGGGTGCACTTGGTCGTTGAAGATAAAACTCTCTGTATTAAATTGGAAAAGGCTGATAGGTTAGCTGTGACACTCGCTCTTCTGGTGTTACATGGGTGCTATAGAAAATGGAATGGCAGATGGGGTTACCGTATGGAACTGCTATCAGGATGTCACTTTGCCCTTTTTTTAATTTTTTTTTTTTTTTGGTTTTTGGAGACAGGGTTTCTCTATGTAACTTTGTAGACCAAAGTGGCCTGGAACTCACAGAGATCCACCTGCCTCTGCCTCCTGAGTGCTGGGATTAAAGGCGTGCGCCACCACCTCCCAGCTTTGACTAAATATTTATATTTAGGCTTCAATAACTCTCGTGCATCTAATTCTTATCATTAAAGTGACAATGTAGGTACTTATAAAAGATCAGACCCCTCCCCCCAAAAAATAGTTTTTCTCTTTCAGAATTCAGGGAAATATTGAAGTTTCACATGTCATTCTACCTTGCCCACTCCACAGCTCTGGTGGTTGTCATCAGCGTGCCCGCGACTGGGTGACCACTTTCTGTCACCAGATTTGAAATCTCCTTGGACTAAAAACCTTTCATTATGATTTTGTATTGAAAGTGAGAATAACAACACCCTCACCCCAGTCTGTAAACGCTTGACAGGATGCAAGCACTAGACTCAAAAGTTTCCAAGAGGAGTGACTTACCAACAAGGACCATGCAGCTAAGAGCTGTGAGCGCTCGGGAAGGCCCGCCATGCAGCCAACGCATGCTCAGGAAGGCCCACCATGCAGCTAAGAGCTGTGCATGCTCAGGAAGGCCTGCCATGCAGCTAAGAGCCATGAGCGCTCGGAAAAGCCCTCCATGCAGCCAACGCATGCTCAGGAAGGCCTGCCATGCAGCCAACGCATGCTCAGGAAGGCCCACCATGCAGCTAAGAGCTGTGCATGCTTAAGAAGGCTGGCCACGCAGCTAACGTGCTCAGGAACGCCCACCATGCCAACACAGCAGAGGTGGAGGCGAGAAGGATCGCTGTGACCTCGAAGCCCATCAGAGCTAAGGGGCGAGTGTGCAATTAGCCTGGACTACACAGCGTGACCCTGTGGCAGCAAACAGAATCACTGACTGATAAATATCGGGAATCCTACTCCAGATACCCTATCCTGTCCACGTCCTTGAAGTCGTAGAAATGAGCCAGGCATACGCCTGCAATCCTGGTACCTGGGACGCTGAAGCAGCAGGACTGAGTCTGAAACCAGCCTGGGCTACATGAGGAGACTCAAAATCAGCGACCCACGATAGCCAAAGACAAACTGAGCGGCAACAAACACACCAACAGAACCCAGCAGGCGGTGGAAGGGAGGCAGGGGCTGCCTGGGGAACTTGTTCTCCCCAGCCCATGGACTCCGGACCCCCGCACGATTACAGCAGACAGGGGGGCCTGGTCGTTGCTTACCAGAAATAGTTGGTGATGACGCAATTTTGTGGTGGGATACACAGCAGGGCAACGAAAAGGTCGTTACTGTGTTCTGACTTTGCTTTGCCAGTGTAAACCAATCTTGTGTTTGAGTATAGGAGGCCTGGGAAGAAAGAAACAGTTTAACATGACCTTGCTAGTATTCTGCCAGTCAAAACTCTGAAGAAAAAGTCACTATAATTCCATTTGTGGAATATAATGTCTGAAGGAAGATTTTTAAAAAAGATTTATTTACTTATGTATACAGCGTTGTCTGCATGTTTGTCTGCCTATATGACAGAAAAGGGCACCAGATCTCATTATAGATGGCTGTGAGCCACCATGTGGTTGCTGGGAATTGAACTCAGGACCTCTGGAAGAGCAGCCAGTGCTCTTAACCTCTGAGCCATCTCTCCAGTCCCCGGAAGATTTTTTTAAAGAAAATGGTACTAGAAATCTAATAGATAAGAGAATGGAGGCTGGAGAAGTGGCTTTGTGCTGTTCTTACAGAGACCCAAATTCAGTTCCTAACACCCAGAGCGGCTCACAACCACCTGTAACTCAACTCCGTGGCAAACATGCACACAGACAAACATGCATATGTACACGAATAAAAAAATACCTTTAGGACAGGGTGGGGAGGAAATAAACATCAGTTCATTCTTTTTCATATTTGCAAGGGTAAACACCTGTGCCTGCCGCCTCCACACTCCTCTGTCCTGACGCCCACGGCTCTCCTCTCTGTCCTGACGCCCACCGCTCTCCTCTCCTCTCTGTCCTGATGCCCACTGCTCTCCTCTCCTCTCTGTCCTGATGCCCACTGCTCTCCTCTCCTCTCTGTCCTGATGCCCACCGCTCTCCTCTCCTCTCTGTCCTGATGCCCACCGCTCTCCTCTCTGTCCTGACGCCCACCACTCTCCTCTCTGTCCTGACACCCACCGCTCTCCTCTCTGTCCTGACGCCCACCGCTCTCCTCTCCTGACTTCCTGGGAGGTCTCAGGGAGGAGAGGGGCTGCCCAGGATCCCTCTCCTGTCTCCTTTTTCCAGGCTGCCACACACAGGGGAGGCATGCTCACGTGGAGGAGCTGGAATATTAGACACACCCCACGGGGCAGATCAGGCCGCACGACAAGGCCAAGCAAGAGAAGGCAATGAGGGGCGACTTCTGTGGTCGCTGTGCCATTATGTGCACAAACCCCAAAGAGTTCAGTGCAGCGCCATGGCCGCTTTTGTGTGGTTATTCATTGACGGACTTTGTGAAATAGTGCATTTCCATATGTTGCTATGGACGGTCTCAAACTAACGAGGTAGCCCAGGCCGGCCTTACGCTCAACTTGAGATCCTCCCGCCTCAGGATCCCAAGTCGTGGGATGCAGGTGTGCCGTTACGCCTAGCTAGTCATTTATCATTAGGAATTATAAACTCATTCAGCGTTAGCTTGAGCCGCTACTCTATTCCGCTTGTTAAAGGGGAGGAAGAAGTGAGCAGTCAGCCTGATTGTCCCACTTGGTGCTTTTAAGGAACGGGCCAATTGCTTGTGAAGTGAAGACTCCAAGAAATGTCACCAGTGATCATCAGTAATTGCTACATATAGTCCGGCTTAAATAGTCTGAGGATTCAAAGAAACTTAAATGCTCAAAATTCAAAACATAGGACAGATAACTTGCGGTTGAAGTTGTAAGAGAGAGGATGGTACATCAGCCTGGACTCTCACTGTCTACGTGTTAGCTGCTCCCTTGTCCAAGTGACTTCCCCTTGGAGGTCTATTGGCTCTGTCAACAGACATTTCATGGTACCTCTGACATTGCTATAATGTACTGAGAGTAAGTGCAGCAGAAAGTGAGTCTTTAACACATCATCAAGAATGATTCAGCAGGGAAAGGGGACTGGCATGTTTCTCAATACTTGGTAAATATTGCTGGATAGGAACGCCCAGACTAAAAGAGTAACTGCGTGTGATACAATGAAATGAAAAAATGTGCATTCAAATAACATAGACATGTCTATTGCAGTACAGAAGGCATAGCTGGTCTCTTCCCATCTGTTTTTTGAGAGAGAGTTTCTATATGTAGGTTTGATTTGTCCTGGAACTCGCTCTGTAGACCAGGCTGGTCTCGAACTCACACAGATCCTCCTGCGTCTGCCTCCCGAGTGCTGGGATTAAAGGCATGGGCCACCAACTCCATCTGATTTCTCTAACTGTGGGTCTAGAACACTCTGTTGATAAACCCTGAAGCCTAACTCTAGCTCTGCAGAAAAAATTGGCCACAACCGATTGGCAGTGTCTGACATAGATGAAGATAACAGTACATGGGCCATGTGCCTGCCGGTCCAGATTTCACATAGACTCGTGTGTCCTGGGTGTATTGCAAGAGGAATGATCTGGTAACTGGAGGCAAAAAAATAAATACATAAAATGCAAATTCTCACTGAATTATGAACAATCTTAAAGGACACATAGACTTGTGTGTCCTGGGTGTATTGCAAGAGGAATGATCTGGTAACTGGAGGCAAAAAAATAAATACATAAAATGCAAATTCTCACTGAATTATGAACAATCTTAAAGGACAATTTGTTCTAAGTCACATCTATTTAAACCACTCACAATGACCCCACACTTAGGCAGTAACAGGAGAGAATTAATTAAATGCCAATGCATTTTCACAACTAAGTGTTATCTAGACAGTGCTTGACATCTTTACTGATTGCTATGATTAACAAATTCAGAATATAGCCCTTGCTTCCTAGGTGGTCTTTTGTTTGTATTTGCAGTTCTGCATGTCAAATGAGTCAGCCTAAACCCATAAGAAACCTGTCTGTGCTTGGAGGACAGGGGCTTGAAATCAAACTAAAAAGGGTTTGTATGTGTTGGGTCATGGAAACCGTCATCTCACCTGGCCGAGAGAGACGTAGAACTTTTTCATGATCATGAGATTGTCCTCTTCGATGGTAGAAGGAGGTGGAGTGGGCGGTTTTCTCAGGACCCAGGGGGAAAAGTTTGTACCTACTATGAAATTCATGCCTGAGTTGCTCCATGTTGCTTGCGAGATCAACTTGGCTAACCTGGATTATAGAAATCACAAACTAACAAAGGCTTACTCCACAGAAGTGTTCCGTTTTCATTTGTAGTTTACTTAAAATTGCTTTTCTAAGCAAAGTTCAAATTTTAGTCAAATTTTGGTAGAAAGTTTCCATGTTTACACTTTAAAAGGGGACTCTCAGCCTTATAGAGATGTTCTGGTTTTTTGTTTTTTTTAATGTTTTTTTAAGATCCATTTACTTTTATATTTGCCTGTATATATGAACATGTACCATGTGCATGCCTGGTACCCATGGGGTTCATAAGAGGCCATCCAGTTCCCTGGAATGGCAGTCAGGGATGGTTGTGGACCACCATGTAGGCTCTGGGAAACCAAACCCATGTCCTCTGCAGGAACAAGTGCTCTTAACTGCTAAGATCTCTCTCTAGGCCCCCACATTCCGATTTTAGTGTTATAGTAGCATCCCTTTGTGTTTACAAAAACGCCACTATGAGTGACAGCTAAATTTTAAGGTAAAACGATCAAAGAGATACAACTGTGAAATTTCTTTAGAAAGTTGTATGATTTTTGCCAATGTTTTTAACCACTCCTATTCTGTAGCATGTAGGACCCAACCTCTAATCGATATCATAAAAAAACCTTATAGGAAGCAAACAGGCATTAAAAAAAAAAGACACACATAGGCAGAGGGCAGCATGGTACCTGTATTCAAAGTAGCAATCACTTTCCAGGAACGCCGGAAGCCTTTTTCTTTTGATCCACTTAATACCTTGCTCCCGGTTGAGACACTGTTACAAAAACACGCAGAGAAAAATCATTTTCGGGTTGCCATGGCAACAGTTTTGCAGAGTGCTTGCCTAGAATGCACAAAAGCTGGGGTCCAATCCCCAGCACAGGCATGAGCATTGCGTGTGGTGCACGGCTGTAGTTGGGCATGAGCATGGTGGTGCATGTCTGTAGTCACGGGCGTGTGCATGGTGCATGTCTGTAGTCACAGGCGTGTGCATGGTGGTGCATGTCTGTAGTCACGGGCGTGTGCATGGTGAGGCATGTCTGTAGTCACGGGCGTGTGCATGGTGCATGTCTGTAGTCACGGGCGTGTGCATGGTGGTGCATGTCTGTAGTCACGGGCGTGTGCATGGTGAGGCATGTCTGTAGTCACAGGCGTGTGCATGGTGCATGTCTGTAGTCACGGGCGTGTGCATGGTGCATGTCTGTAGTCACGGGCGTGTGCATGCTGGTGCATGTCTGTAGTCACGGGCGTGAGCATGGTGGTGCATGTCTGTAGTCACGGGCGTGAGCATGGTGGTGCATGTCTGTAGTCACGGGCGTGTGCATGGTGCATGTCTAGTCACGGGCGTGTGCATGGTGCATGTCTGTAGTCACGGGCGTGTGCATGGTGGTGCATGTCTGTAGTCACGGGCGTGTGCATGGTGAGGCATGTCTGTAGTCACGGGCGTGTGCATGGTGCATGTCTGTAGTCACGGGCGTGTGCATGGTGGTGCATGTCTGTAGTCACGGGCGTGTGCATGGTGAGGCATGTCTGTAGTCACGGGCGTGTGCATGGTGCATGTCTGTAGTCACGGGCGTGTGCATGGTGAGGCTAGCCTGTGGTCCAGAACAGGAGGCTCAGAAGTTCATGACTGTGCTCTCTCTTCTTGATCTCGGGTCTCAGTTAACTTTTCTCTTTCTCGTTTCCCATGGTAGAAGACAGATGACCGACAGCGATGCTTGGGATTTTTAGTTTTATTTTCATTTCCTATTAATTGTATAAACCTCCTTCTAGTCACTAATTTAGCTGCATCCCAAATTGTAACAGTTTGGTTTCTTGTTTTCTTTGAGACTTATCTTTTCATAATGTGTTGCCTAATTATTTAGGTATTTGGAGATTTTTCCCCCCATAGTTTTGTTGTTGACTGGTGGTTTAATTCTGGGGTGATCGGCAATATATTTTGCATAATTTCATATATTTTATTTATTGTAACATCTGTCCTGATCATCACCCCAAGTGTCCTCAGGAAAGAGCATGCGCTGTGGGTTTGGGGGTGAAGTTGTTCATAAGTGAAGGTTGGCTTCTCTGCTAGTGAGACACAGACCTGTCATGTCCTTAGGATGCACTGTTTCTACTGATTATAACAGCAATGTTTTCATCTCAAGCCGTACTGCGGTTTTGGCTACTTCCTCCTTATGCTTCATTAGCACTTATCATGTATTCTGAAGCACTGTGGTTAGGTACACACGTATTAAAGCTGGTTGTATTTTTCTATGAACTGACACATTTACTAGTGTGCGGTATCCCCCTTTATCCACAGCAGGAGTCCTTGTTCTGGTCTACTTTGGTACTAATATGATCACCCTAGCTTTCTTTTAATTAGCAATTAATTATACGCCATATACTTTCTTTCTCCTGATATGTTTATTTGATACTTAAGGTTGGTTTCTTTTAGACAGAAAATAATTGAGTCTTCATTTTTTTTAATCCCATCTGACTCTAATTTTTAATTAGGATGATTAAGCTACATGAATTTAATGCAATTAGTGATGTGTTACTGATTAGTGATGCTGCTAAATATTTGCATACCTAGTTAGGAGACTCTTGGCTAATATATTTTATATAATTATATTCCTCTGATCTACCTTCGAAACAATGCTTTAATGTAACTATTATCAGCACTGAAGTTAAAAGAAGAGAACTATGTCTGAATTAGTAGTGGGAGAATTGGAGTAGAGCTGTCTGAAGCTACGAGCAGGCATATTTTTCGGCCTGTTTGTGCCTAGTTCTGAAATAGCATTTTACAATAATCACTGTCATTGTCACTGACCCACACAATAAGCCTGTGGAGTAGTTAGTGGAGGCGTGGCTGATGGTGGGGACAAAGTTCGTCACGTGATTTTTTTCAGGGAAGCAGAGCTAGTGGGTTTAGCCGGTTTGCTGACCGAAAGCAGAGGATGGACACCTGCAGCTGATAACAGAACTGAAGGCTGGGAGGTCACAGTCACAGCTACAGACACCTGGGGGCCTCAGGGTCATCTCAGCTCCCAACTGTAAATAGGATTGGTTTAAAAAAAAAAAAAACAGAATAAATAAGCTTCCTTTCGTCACGCATTTCCTAGAAGGAAAACTGAACCATAAAGGATATGCATATCTACATTACCATAAATGCACTGGACATCTTGTATACCCAAGGCAAATCACATGACCATTCTTAGGTTGGTTGATAAAAGCCAACAAAACAGCTCCATTGGCCGTTATGTGTAAACAGATGACGCGGTGCCTGAAAGACACTGTGTGTAAGCATAACATGCCAATGAATGTGACTGGACCTGGGAAACTTCATGTCAACGTCACCAAGTGCTTCCTTTAAAAAACTCACTTTTTTATTGTCTGCATGTGAGTGTTTTCCCTGAACGTCTGTGTGTGCACCTTGTACATGGCTGGTGCCACAGAGGCCAGAAGAGGACATCGGATTCCCTGGAACTGGAGCTACAGACAGCTGAGATCCACATGTGGGTGTTGGGAATCGGGGGCCAGGCCCCCTGGAAGAGTAGCCAGTGCTCCTAACCGCTGAGCCATCACTCTGGCTCTTTCTTTTTAATGTATTTATTTTTATTTTATGGGCACTGGTGTTTTACTTGCATGTATGTCTGTGTAAGGGTGTTGTATCCTACTGGAACTAGAGTTACAGTTGTGAGCTGCCCTGTGGGTGCTGGGAACTGAACCAGGGTCCTCTGGAAGAGCAGCCAGTGCTCTTAACCACTGAGCCAACTCTCCAGCCCGCACTCTGGCTCTCGAGACGCTCTCTTGACTTTGCAAGACAGAGGCTCAAGCGCACTGGCTTACCATGATAGTGTAGGTGATGTTAATGGCCTCATCTTCACAGGGGACCTTCTTTTGAAGAGGTTTAGCGTCACTTTTCCCTTTCCTTATGACATCGTAGATGGGATTTCGAGGTTGGTGGCTTTGCAGGATTTTTTTCAGTTGCTTTTCCAGAAGTTGGGGCGCATTGTTAATCACTTCAAAAACTCCGTAGTCCACATTGAATCTAATTGCCTCTGAAAAGGTCTGCAATATAAAGTACGGAAAATGCTTACATTTAAAGTACAGAAACTCGCTGTCTCTAGGAGGACCCACTACCGTAGCTCATCTTCCCGTGATCACCGCTCTTCCCTTTTAGAATCTCGGAAATCCCCTGGCTGGAGGACAGGGGATCCACTGAAGGCTTCCGTGCCGGGAATTTGTGCTATGGTTGCTATGGTAGAAATCTTACTGTTATCGTGGTTCTTTCAGACTAGAGGAAAACACATGCCCGGCTTCCCGGAAGCAGGGTTACTTACCCTCGAGGGAGGAGGTGGGTTACTGGGTGAGGGTGAAGGAAGAAAAGAAAAATGATGACCCTATTCCCTTTTAGCCCCGGGAGTCACGAAAGCTCACAGTTTCTCTTTCCCAGAGAGGGGACAATTAGCTACAATATGTTTTCATTTAAGACAATTTCAGCAATGTTCTTCACACAGTGACAAAAAAAAAAAAGTGACAGAGGCTAGCATTCTGAGCTTTTTCTCAGCAAGCACTGGAGGTTCCCAGCTTTATCTAAAGGTGGTTAGCTAATATACAACCGCCACAGGTCTCGGGTGTGACTGCTGGTTTGTCGGTAAATAGCTCTCGGACTTTGGGTAAAATCGTCAGAGATTTTTAAGTCGTTTATTTCCACGAGAATTAATGGTGCACTGATGATATCTTCTTTGATTTTGTCCTTTAAATCTAGGATAGGGTTTTTGTTTCACACTATTCATTTATTTAAGGGTGCCGTCAGTGAACTGACTGTGCGCTCATGTAATTTACTGATGCTCAGCCAAGTGGTAGTGGGATCAAAGTCTTTTCTATGGATCACTAGGTGCCCCAGTAAAGTGCTGCTAAATATACGGCAGTTACAATGCAGTAAGTTGCAGAGTATCTTTGTAAACCTTGAGCTAAAAATATGGTTTTTTTAAGGCTTATTTATCATGTACACCACGTTCTGCCTGCATGTATCCCTGCAGGCCAGAGGAGGGCGCCAGATCTCTTTCCGGATGGTTGTGAGCCACCATGTGGTTGCTGGGAATTGAACTCAGGACCTCTGGAAGAGCAGCCAGAGCTCTTAACCTCTGAGCCATCTCTCCAGCCCCGAGCTAAAAATATGTTATATATGCCATATGGCATCACATCTGAAGAGTCCAGAATGTTGCCCATCCTACGGTATTTGATCCATAAACAACAGAAATAAGACACCTACCAGTCTACAGTCTGAACCACCTTAGAGCTCAGCTCCCACATGACAGGTTTAACTGGGTAAGTCTAGACAATCTGGAAATCACCTGTAAGGTGTCTTTAATAACAGCATTTTATTCGTGATCTATTATATTTGTCCTCTGAATATAGGATTCAAACAGACGACATGTACCTAAATGTCAAAAATGCACTCCTTGATATGGTACCCTTGGACTAACGAGATGTACAGGTTCATAATACCAGAGCCAAGATGTATCCGGTTAAGGGAAGGAAATGGAGTGAGCGTGACAGGGACGGACATCACACTTACGGGGTCGGGACAATGAAGCTCTACAGCAAGAAGGCTCGCCTGGGAAAATTTTCTCCCAGTCCCGAGCGTCTATGCAGCAGGAGAGCCTGTTTGTCCTGGACCTGCTTCCCCTGTTTTTGTCTGTATCTACAGCAGCCAAATGAACACAAAGATAGGATAAATCCAAAGTAAGGGGTGCGAATTAATTAGTTCAATGACGAAAGAAACATTTTCTGCTAAAAATTTTTTTTTAAATGTCCAAACAATGCTGATGCTGAGCCCACGCGCGACCAATGCTTAGCACTACGAGAAAGACGCAACTGGTGGAAATAACAGAAGGGAAGGGCTACTGCTTGCTGGGGCGCTGCCACGTCTGTAGCAAACACCTTAATGCTCTATCACCAATGCTCCCGATTCCTGAGACAGCTGTTTACAGAAAACCGATGCTGCGGACGGTTAAGGGGTAGCCCGTGGATTCAGAGCTATGATGATAGGTCCGAGCCACACAAACAAGCCTGAATGGTTCCAAAGACAGTGCATTTTTCTTCTTTGCTGTATTGTCTCACACATAGAAAGCCCGTGCATGCATGCATGCATGCGACCCTTTTTCTGTGTCAGGCACTGTGCTACGTAGTAGCCCTGCCTGCCACGTTAGTAGACCTTCTGGGCCACCAGTTTGATTTTTGGAGCCTAGCCTCTTATTTTCTCTGGTCTTACTGATAAAGGCTCAAATGCATGAAGCGACACCATATACAGAGTTAGAATTGTCTTAGAATCGATATTGGTAGGGGGCTGGAGAGATGGCTCAGTGGTTAACAGCACCGGCTGCTCTTCCAGAGGACCTGAGTTCAATTCCCAGCACCCACATGGTGGCTCACAACCATCTGTGATGGGACCCAATGGCCTCCTCTGGTGAGCAGAGAAACATGCAGACAAAGCACTCACATACATAAATAATTTTTTAAAAGAATAATATTGGTAGAATAGTGTAAGGGGCCAAAGAGTTGTGTGGTAAATAAGGCAGAGGGACCAGATAACGGAGAAGGTTTTCAGAACAAAGGTTTTATGTTAATGTTCTGGGAAACCTGTTGACTACGGGAGAAGCACAGATCATTTCTGTTCCTGGGTAGCTGTCTGGAAGGGACTTTGTCTCCTTGCCAGCACATGAGCTGGGGGCTAGAATGAGAAGAGTCATCCCCATACGCCGGGGAGACCATGAGGTGCCACCACGTACAACCTGCCATCAAATCCATGTTTGCTGTGTAATAGGGCGCCAAAGCTAAGAAAGGTTACAACAGCAAGTGCTCCAGTGTGCTCGCCACAGGACTCAGGAGTGATGACTGAAGTCCTTTCAAAGCCAGGGAATTTTAGTCAGGGCTGGTGGTGAGGGTTGTCACTCACTCGGAAGCCATCCTAACTTCCTGAGACACGCAACCTAGAAAACAGAAAAACTATTTTTTGCAGACTCCCTATTCTGTGGTTTGAAGAACGGCTTAGGTCATGTGCATATAGGCACTTATAAAAAATATCAGTTGGATTCTGAACCAGGTTAAAAGGTAAAAGAGGTCTATCCATTACAGGAGGAAAAACAAAAAGCATAAGTGCATTAAAATGAGGAAAGTTGCCAGGCAGTGGTGGCGCACGCTGCATGCCTTTAATCCCAGCAGTTGGGAGGCATGGATAGGCAGATCTCGAATAGGGGATGTCCTTCTGTGTGCTGTGAATACGTGTTTCTCTTATTGGCTGATGAATAAAGCTGTTTTGGCCAATGGACAGGCAGGATGTAGCCAGGCAGGAAATATAGGCGGGGCTACCAGACTAGGAGAATTCTGGGAAGAGGAACACAGAGGAGTGAGTGGCCAGGGAGATGCCATGGAGCTGCCGAGGAAAAAAGAGGTTCAGGCATCACCGGTATGCCTAGACCATGTGGAGACACACAAATTAATAGACATGGGTTAATAATTAAGAGAGAGCTACCCAATAAGAAGCCTGAGTCATAGGCCAAACAATTTATAATTAATGTAAGCCTTTGTGTGTTTATTTGGGACTAAATGACTGCACAACCAGGTGGGACAGAAATCTCTTGAGTTCGAGGCCAACCTGGTCTACAAAGTGAGTTCCAGGACAGCCAGGAGGACACAGACAAACCATGTCTCTCAAAAGACTTATAATAATAATGATGATGAAATGAGGAGAGGGGGACTGATCAAAAGGTAGAACAAGGCAGGTAGCAGCTTTGCACATCTGTGGAAACAGAACAAGGGAGACTAAGGTGAGAGGGTCCGGAGTTCGAGGCCAGCCTGGTCTATACAACGAGTGGCAGGTTAGCCAGGACTGCACAGTGAGACCCCCATTTCAAGCAAACAGATGCATGGACACAGAATGTACTAAGCTGGTCATAAGCTGGCCACGGTTTCATGTGCCGGCCATTCCAGGCATTCAGAGGGCTGAGGCAGAGCCCAAGTTCAACTGTAAACCGCCCCACCCTGGATAACACAAAGAACCTGTCTGCACAAACCACGCCAAGCCAGCCTGGATAACATAGAGACCTAGCCAAAGCATTGTAAATATTTACGCTTAAGAGCGTTGAAAGCCAAGTATGGTCCTAGGATGTGGGAAGCTGAGGCTGGAGGAGCAGGAGTCCAAAGTCATCTTAGGCTACAAAGTGAGTTCAAGTCCACCCTGGGATACCACGAGAGCCAGTCTAAAAAAAAAAAAACACACAGAACGAGATTACTTAATGCATAAAACTCTGTGCCAAAGGTAATGTTTTCCTGCTTAAAAAGCTACATGACAGAGTCCATCTCAGAGGTCCTTAATGGCGCACTATGGTTCCAAAAAAAAAATCATAAAATGTCGAATAACAGATACAAATATTTCCCCTATTAGTGTATTTCAACAGTATCAAAAATTGTAAATGTCTAAGTGTCGAGTGTGACCTTAGGCCTAAGATACCTAAGATTCGGAGACGAATAAGCATTGCTTCTTCCTTTGAAGGGACAAGTGTACAAGAATTTATTATTTTCCTATAACAAAGTCAACAAAACATTAGCTTCCACTAAAATCCGTGCAAACGCAGATATGTCCAGTGGGGAAATGTGTCCACAAAGACGGGGGTGGGGGTGGCGGGGGACATGGCACATGACAAAGCTAGGATGTTATGTCTGGTTAGCATATTTGAAAATAGATCTGGCTAAACTTGAAACAATAATAGGAGAGAATGATTAAACGGGAGGAAACCGCTTTTGCCTTCCTGAGTTAAAAGGGGGCGGGAGTTTTAACTGGATGACCTAAAGGTGCCTTCCATGCTCAATACTCTAATTGTCCGTATCTCTTAGTCAGGCCTATCACTGCTCTAATGAGACGCCTTTGACCAAAGCAGCTTGGGGAGGAAGCGGTTTGTTAGGCTTACGCTTCCACGTGGCTGTTCATCATCTAAGGAAGTCAGGACAGAAGTCAGACAGCAGGAACCTGGAGGCAGGAGCTGATGCAGAGGCCATGGAGGGAG